TTTAGTTGTGTTTAAGTTCTGCTGTCCTCTGTTTAGTGTTTTGCAACACAGGTTCATCACAGTGTGAATTGTGTTTTAGTGAGTGAGAATGTGTTTAGAGTTTAGCAAAAAGAGTGCATGAGATTTGCTAACAGAGTCTAAGTACCTGAACTTGTTTAAGGTTTTGCAGAAAGAGTGATTTATTCGACAAATTGGTTTAGGCTATTGAGAATTTGGTCCAGAGAATGGGGTTTATTGTTTTAGCAATTGTGAAAAACTGTAATTATTGCCATCAAACCTTAGCCATAGTTTCAAATACTTCCAGAATATGCTGTTATATTGACAACATGACTAAACATTCTGACTGCCTTGTTCGTAAACGAAGTCATTCTGATGCACTGACAGGTTTGCTGACATAAGTATTTACTTTTAAGAGATAAACAAAGGATTATGAGCAAGTGACGGGCTTTTGCAAGTAATCAATTGAGTGGTGCTGTTTGAACAAATTACTTCAAGAAATGTTCTTACTGTTTTGCAAATATCAAGGATGATTTGAGAAATGTATCAAAGTCACTGAGAAAACTTTAATCAAAGGCAGAGGGAGACTGAAGAATAGAAAGACAGAGTACAAAGCTGGTGTAAGATGTTAACTATTTACATGAAGAGTAGTTAGCTTGATATTTGCCATATTAAAATTTGCCTCACCTTTCCCATACAGTCCAGAAGACGCTCCAGTTCAACAATTCTCTCGTCCCTCTCTGCAATCCTGGCCTCTGCAGTCCTGATTTGCCTCTCTGCGTTTTCCAGACGCCTGATGTACTCATCGATTTGGGCCTGTGGGAACAGAAATACATTCTGGTTTTAAAACGGTGCATGCAGTTTTCAAGAATTTTGAAATTTATCTGAATTTCTGAGTGTCACAGACTGGATTTGCTTTAGAGCAAAATTCACATTCATAATCTTTGTAAAATGTGTCAGAATCAAAGGCATTTGAGATATATTGAGTAATCATCACACATCTATTTTGTTGTACGTTGTTTTGTACAGTAAGGACAGCTGAAACCATGTGTGACGTACAATGGTGAAATTACGTGAATAAGGAGTAAAGAATGCAGACCTGTAAGTTTTCAATCTCCTCCCTGTGTTTCCGTTGTTCCTCCATCAGTTTTTCCTCATACTCCCTCTGTAGCTTCGCTGACAGCTCCCGCAGCGCCTGAATGCTGGCCTCCTGTGAAGACTCCACCTGTACCATTCACAGAACAGCCAAAATTAAGACTGTGTATGGCTGATTATTTCATACTGAAGCCAGAATAACAGATGTGGATGCAGCTGTAACTGTACAGCACTGAGATGATCTCTTGTCAAATTTGTTGGATCACAGCTTCATTCTTGGATGTTGAAGTTATTACTAAAGTAACCATTTTTTGTTTGGCCATCACACAAACTAGAAGAGGAAATTAGTTTTCAGAACTTTTGGGACTATTATAATGATGAGTAAAGGATATTACTTATGATGTTACTGTAACCTGAGGCACAAACTGAACACTAGAAAGATTTCAGGTGAAGGGTGATCAGTTCCAGATTTCTCTTTCTTTAGCAGACACATCACTGGTACAGACCGTTTTGCCACAGGTCATATTTGCACCCACTTGTCACACCAGCTGGATGACAATGAAACGTGTTGGATCAGGTATTTCCACTTCTACTGCTTTGGATGTTTGGCTGCATGAGGGTTTTTATGAATGAGTGTACACTTAGTCTTACCTGTAATCTCAAACTCTGGTTTTCAGCCTGCATGGCGGCCAGCTCCCTCTCCCTGTTTCTGAGTTTTTCTTGTGTATTCTCAAAGGTGTTGCGCAAAGTCTTCACCTCCTCTCTTGAGTCTATTTTATTCTGACAGTTTTCCAGAAGGGATTTCTGCAAAGGAAACTCCTTTTACTTTCTGTAATGACATTCAGCTGTCATACGGGAAGTCCTCGCAGGTTCATTTATAGTGATTGGTTACCTGCAGGGTGATGTTAGAAGATATAAGGGAGCTGTTCATCTGATCAAAGCTCTCCATGGCTGCCGTCCGGACCCTCACCTCTGACTCCAGAAGCCTGTGATGTGCGTTGGCAACCTGCAGGAACAAACAGTACACTGCATTTTCAAATTTCTCACATCTTCATAGATTAGAAATTGATGGGGTGCTCTGAGCTGTCATGTGCTGTTGCATAATTAGTTACCCTAATTTCCTGTGAAAGCTTCTGCATTGATTGTTGCATCCCGCCAAACTGCCCGTACATCCGCTCTCTCACCTTCTCTAGTGAATCTCTCACCTGTATACATGTACACAGAACTTACAGCTACAACCTACACAACCTTATACAGAAGATGTGATGTTAAAACAATGACATGTGGACCTGAAGGCCTTTCTTCTTGTTGTGTTACACTACACTCACCTCCCTAATGTACCTCATCTCCTCCTGAAGGTGATTGACTGACCACTCTCGTGCCATTACTTCCTGCCGTCTGTCCGAGCCCATCCTCTGCACTACGCCATACACTTTGGGCCCATGATGCTGCAGCGAGGTCTCTGGCACCCCATTGGGGACGTCTCTGACCTGCTGAGAGAGACAGGATTGCACTGGTCAGGTTTCTGTAGCCACCCTCCACTGAGCCTGACTAACACTGCCACTGTGCTTGTGTGCACACACCTGCAGGTACATTATATGTGTGTGTTTGTGTGTGTGTGGATGCACATGTCTGCATACTGTATGTACAGTACACTCGGTCAGGTATTTCCTGCACTATTTCTGCTGAGTACAGGAAACAGGAAGATTAGGAACGAACAGCTAAAAACAAAAGTGCAGGCTGTATGGAAGGTGTCAGGTTTCTGCAACCCAGTACGTTAGCTGCTGCTGTTTCTGCCTTTTGTATCTCTACCAGGCACCAGATGAAAATAAATACACTGGTTCAGTGCAGCACTTTATACAATGCAATAACTAAATAACAAATGACATTTACAGTCATGGGTACAAATAAGTTACAGAACTGTAGGTAAAAGATTCAGTTTCTCTAAATATTTAAAATGCACTGCAAGAGGCAAATGTTTTGTTTGGAGTTAAGAAAAAGAAATTAATTCTAGGCCTTCCACAAATACCTCTTTATCAGTAAATCTGCATACTATTTCCTAAAACCAAACAGACTTACACAGATTACTTGGTCCAAACATTTTCTATTATAGAAAACAAACATAATCTTTTAAATAGTCAAATTAGAGAAACTAGAACTGAAAACATCTGAACATTTTGTTCAATATAATTGAAACAGTTAATGGGTTATTTTAATTGTTTAAAATTCATTTTCAACATATATTTTTTGACTAATCCTGTCAGCTGTAATTATCTGGATATGTGTTGTATCACTTTTAGTTTGTCACTTAACTCAAAGAAAGATAAAACATTTTACTGAGCCAGTGACAGTGAATATGTACAGTAAGTTGTCTTCAGACCTAACAAATACAGCTGAGACATAAAATTCGTTATAGTCACCTGCAGCCATCTGTTCATGCTCAGGATGCATACATTATTAATCACAGCCAGAGAGTACATGCACAATAACATGTTTCACAGAAGGATGTCAGTGGTACACATGTTGAAACAGTGGCAGTGTATGCATCGCAGTGTCATGCCTATTACTCATGTGGTGGATGTGTCTGTCTACCTGCTGAGGTGACTCCCTGCCAGCTGGCCTTTCTCTCTGGATTAGCCCATTCCTCTTCTTCCATGCTCTGCTGATGTCGTTTTCTTTCTCAGCCTGCAGAGAAAAACAAAACAACAACAAGTATTCAAAATTGCTGTTGTGGATGATTTACTTTGCTCAAGGTATGGGAACTGCCAAGTTCAAAAATGCTAAAAATAAGGGTTGTTATTTTGTGTAAACATTCCTCATCACTGATGCCTTCTTTGGTAAAGTTTGTGCTGCATGAAGGTACTGTAGTCTGTCATTGCTTCTGTTACATGTAGAAAATGTATTTCATGTGCATAAAGTGATGTAGTAAAAAATCTGAACATTTCAGTCAAAAAAATCGTCTGCGCAGCTTGCTCACCCTGTAATGACACAGACATATAGGGTCTGTAAGCTCTGCTGACAATGGTGCTTTGGCCAAAGCGTTCACATTTTTATTCACATGTTTTCATAGAGTTACTGACAGCTTTTTAAAACCTCTGTTCAAGTTAAACATTTAGTCCAGACCCACAGTAGTAATCAGAGAAGGAAGTATGAGGCTCCACAGCTCACAGAGATAAGAGTGAGGAGGGACTAGAACAAAGATGCCAGTGTCGTCTCCTGGACAGAGGTGAGCCTCACATTTCTGCACCACTTAATCTACAGAAGACATGCTGCTGAGAAATGGTGAAGCCAATGGGTGGCTTTGGATTCCAGCAGATGGAAGGAAAAAAACAGCCATCTTTAGATTTTAACAAGACCATAGGCACTGCACTGAGTGCGAGGAGGAACTAGAACAAAGGTTCTCTGTGTGCTGTCATTTAGCTTTGAATTTTACAGTGCTACTGTCTGACCACACTGGTGGGCAATGTTTGCCTGGTTTTTGTATCTGAAACTACAGCCATGTAACTTTGGCAAAGCACAAAGGGATTCTTTTGTTACAGTATGTGGTCTTGAGGAACTCCCAGATGCCACTGAATTACATAAACAACTACCTAAACACTATTAAATAAATTATAAGTCACTAAATTGTCATTTGTTTGTTGCACATGAATCGTATGCTCTAACATATGACGACACTGCGAAGGACTCAAATGCTGCATTAGCTCCTTATTTTATGACACAAATATGAAAGTTGAACTCACAAAACAAAGCCCCTCTCATTGGGCTCACTGAGCTGAGTCTCGTTCACGTTGCAGGTACTTTGAGGCATTGTAAGGATGATATCCAGTACTGTATGTGTAGAAACTTCTATATGTAGCCATTCTGTGTTTTTCCCCTGGTGTGTGTCATGGCGCATTACATCTGCTCTAGGCCATAGTCGCTGGCTTGATTGTGTGCATGTTGTGTCAGGTTGCACATGACACACTTAAGTTTATGGTGTAAAACCACCTTAACCAGCGTTGCTACTGAAACAGTAATATGGATATCTCTGACAGTGGATGTTTTGGTCATGTTCTTCCCCCCTTGATTAACTTCTTGTTGCCCCTTCTACCTTGTTTTTCTTTTTTTCATCAAAAAAATCACAATGACATTTGACCTTCCTTAAAGATTAAGTTCAAAAACTGAGCAACATCGGTAGAAATTTGTCTATAAAACATGTGGACTCACACTGTAAAAATCCAAAATATGCACTCACTTGTTTTAGCACTTCATTTTCATGATATATTTAGTAAATTTAGGATCTTATGGGAATAGTTCAACATTCTGGGAAATGTAGTTACTCACAGTGGTGGAAAGTAACTCAGTACATTTATTCAAATACTGTACTTACATACAATTTTGAGTTATGTGTACTTGAGTACTTTCCTTTGTTGTTACTTCATACTTTGACTTCACTACGTATTTGAGGCAAATATTGTATTTTTAATGCGTTGCGTTTATTTGATAGCTTTAGTTTCTTTTCTGAATCAGATTAATACAACAAAATACATCCATCCATCCATCTGATATATATATATACCATTTGTCCTAATGAGGTGTCCGGGGAGCTGGAGCCAATCCCAGCTTAGGCAAGAGGCGGGATACACCCTGGACAGGTCACCAGTCTATCATAGAGCCAGACAACCACACACACCCACACTACAACAACATACAGTATAATCATACAACTTTCTTGATCCCCAAGGGAAAGTCCCAAGTTATAAAGCAGTACTGCAATTCAAATTACAAACACAAAATAAAATCAAGATTATCTCCACCTTTACCAGCTGGAATATTAAAGTGTTTAACACAGTAACGCATCAGCAATTATAGTTCAATAACATTATATAGCTACATTTTGTAAAATGCACCATTCTGTATAATAAGCACTTTTAGTTTTGGTACTTTACGTATATTTTGATACAAATACGTTTGTGCTCTTACTTAAGTAACATTTTGAGTGCCAGACCTTGTAAGAGAGTACTTTTAACCTGTGGTATTGCTACTTTTACTTGCAGTAAGTAAAGAATTCCATCACTGGTGACTCACTGTTGTCTCTACCTTCGTCACTGTAGCTTAGCTTAGCTGAGCACAAAGACAGAAACAGCTTGGCTCTGGCCAATAAGAAATGTTTTCACACTTTGTGTGATAAAACAAAAAGATTTAATCTGTTAAAAGGTGAGTTTTACATGTGTGGCTGGGTGGACTTTGTTCCCTCTGGATAGAGACAAGCTAACTGTTTCCAGTGTTTTTGATAAGCTAAGCTAGCAGCATATTTACCTTCTCATTTAACTCTTGGCAAGGACATAAACAAGAGATTTTCCCAAAATGTTGTTATTCATCTATTCTGTTCCATTTTATGTGCATTTCCTCTATTTCATTTTCATCACACTGCCACTCTGCTGCCAGAGCTGCTGACGTCTGTCCAGATACACTGACTACATAGTTACAGGCTGCAGATTTGTGTGTTCAATAAGCACACACAGAAGTACATGTCATCAGCCAGCACGTGTGTTACTCCGGACTGTGTGTTCACTCTTGCTCTCACTGCCCTCTGTCATCAGTTCCAATAGTCATGGTCACACCCTCTCAAATGGGAAGCACATTCAGAGGTTAGAGCAGCATGCTATCGCTGGAGTGTGTGGAGGTGTGGCAGTTTGACCAATGCAATACACCCTGATCAAGGTTCATACAAATTATATTGTAGCACCATGTTTTCTTAAAGATTCTGCACAGTTAAGAAGGATAAAAATCCTGTTCAGAGCCAGGAATAAGCCAAGTATGTCACTCACTCTCACACCCTTACTGCCTAACTCTGCCATCAGCTTCTGAACCGCAGATCCTGAACACAAACAAAAGCAGGGGCAGAGCAACATACTGTACAACAAACACCCATACAGCCTGCAGCGTGTACTCACAGTCATTATTTATATGGTCTCAGTGCACACAACGCATAGCCTGAGTGTAAGTCGGCACTTCAATAAGCAAATGCCAATTTTATGAGCTGTGTTTGTGTTAGTTACCAATGTTTGAGTTAGGTTTTGTCTAAGGTCATGTCAGGTGCCTCAGGGATCTCCGTGACATATCACACACTGTCTGCTCAGCCAGAGTATATAAAATATTTCTATTGTATGGCTCAGAGTCAGAGCTGAGCTTTGAAGTAAATTTGAAACAGCTGCATGTGTGTGTGTTATCACACACACACACACCCTCCTGCCATAAATGTGTAACTGGACCACATGATAAAAAACACATAAATCTCAGTGGCTCCACCATCGCTCTCTCTCTCAAGGTATTTGTATTATTATGATGAATTAATGCATGTTTCAGTGCTTATCATTCTCCCACATCACTATCTCAGAGACTGTCTTGGTGTGTTGTTCATTTAAAGTTAGAGAGAAAGACAAATTCAGCTGGTTTGTTGAGTCAAATTCAGTTCAACAACAGCTTAATTTAACTCTACTCATTAAACCTTTAGCTAATATCTGTCAAGTAAGACTGATAGGCAGGATGCAGCGTGGTTTAATTGTTAAGTTTCTGTGACTTACTGTCTCTGAGTTTGCAGTTTTTGGCTCATTGTTTCCATCGTCTCCTGCGTGTAGAGTTAACCTGAGGCGCCTGATCCTCCTCTGAGAAAAACAAAGGCAGCAAATACATTTTTCATTATGTCACCATGAGAAAAGACAGAATAGTTTACATTAAACAGTCCATGAAATTAAAGTATAGACTGATTTCACCTCAACACCTGAATAATCCACCACCATGAGGTTATTTATAGACAATGACAACAGAACCGCAAACAAACTTTATGTAAATGACCTGAAAATGTGCTGCAGATGCATCATCATAAAATGTCCACTACAGTAGACAAAAATTTTTAACAGCTAAAAATTTTAAAGATTTTATTTAATGTCACTATTCCAAAGGTACGTGAGCAATGTGCTTATATCATGCTCACTTTATAAAATATTAATAGGGTCTTTCATCATTTGCAAACAATGGGAATAACTTTAAGAGTGGATTTAGTACAAAGGCTGGTTTTATCAAAGAGCTGTTCAAATAAACATGACAGCCCTGTCTCTGGCGCACTCAGCTCCGGTAACACGGTCTTGTAAGCGAACACATCACAAACAAACTTTTAGATCAGAGTAAAGAAAATATGAGCTGGGGTAGAGAAAAATGATCTCACTGCAGACAGACGAGAAACAAGTGAGTAAAAAGCAGCAGGAAAAAAATGGGCTGTTTGCAAAATAGTGAAAGTGAGGGAGACAGAAAAGAGGAGACACACAGAGTTTTAGTGCCACAGCGTCTATGGGACTTCATACCTCAGACTCTGGGGAGTCCTGTGTTGTTGTGGTGGTCGAAGCAATTCGTCCTGCACCGTAGCGGAGCATATCTCCTCTTCTGTCCACCCCTGGCTTCTCTTCCTCTCCCTCTCTGACCCGCCTCCCCCTCTTCCTCTCACTGTCTTTCCTGAGTGCTGCTCAAATTCTCACAGTGACCATTTGCTCCTGGCGACAGCCAGGGAAAAGGAGGGAAATTCCACTCTGTCAAGCTTGGTGGTAGTGGAGGTGGTGGTGGGTGTCCACAGGGCCCCGAGGTTCCCTCTAAGGTGCAGTCCACTTATACACTCAGCAACTGAAACGCAGCTATGTCATTTCTAAATCCACCTGGCTGACAGGCTTGTCAGTCACTCAGCAACCTCCCTACCTGTCTGTCTGCGTCTCTTTACGTCTCATTCTGCGTCTCAGCAGACCTGTCGGGCCACATTTCACTTGCCTGCCCGGTTTGTGCCTCCTGCCCCGAGAGCAGGACTTTCACAGGGCGTGTCCTAGTCTGGTGGAGACAGGTGGAGTGTTTATGATCAACAAGAGCTGCTATTCACAGCACACTTAGCAGAACAGCAATTCATTCTATTCATTCAAGCAACAAAATACAATTACTGAAGAGCTGTACTTGATTATGAATTGGATGTCCTTGTACCTAAGTAACAAAGAAACTCCTTTATACTACTTATACTTTTTTATACTCCTACTCCAGCACATTATTTACAAATAATTACTTTTTTGTGCTCCACTATATTTATTTGACATCTTTAGATCAAGTTACTTTTCAGTTTCATATGTTACATACAAACAATATGAATATTACAGATTACAGTACCAAACACTGTAGAAATAGTTAAAAATTACATCTATCTGGACCAATTACACCCTTTAATTATCACTTACATATTACAAAATGACGATCAATTATATAATGATTTAAAACTGATACTGTAGGGGTCACTCTGCATAATTTGTAGTTTAGATATTTTAAGTGTATTTTCCTGCTAATATTTATTTTACTGTGGTATTTTTTTACCTAAATGATTTGAGTATTTCGTCCACCACTACTTCTGCAAGAGGGAAAATAGTTTTTCCCAGCTGAATAAAACCTAAAACAGGTTCATACTAAAGGTGCAGGAGGTGTCCCACCCAGTACAGGAGCAGCTGGTGCCAATAAATTATTGATACTGTTGATAGTTGATAGTGATGAAAAGGAAGACAGCACGGAAAGCATTATTTTTTAATGTTATTGTTGCCATAGAACTACACCCTCATTTGGTTATACAGTATGTGATGAAGTTATTATCGTCATCAGTTTATACTTACGCATCCTATCAAATATCTCCAGGTTACAGGCAGAAAATCATCCTGACAGCCAGATCACATTCCTCTTGTGAATGGCCTGGAGTCATTCCCTTTTAATAGAAACTAGAGACACAGAGGAAAGCCGGAGTCAAATTTAAATATGTCACAACACATCAGTAAATATGAATAGAAAAATCTGCAGAGCAATATGAGAGGTATTTCTTTAACAACAGGACTGTGCAGTTAATCAGCAACCAGAAATCAAACACATAGTGTTTCTTTACTCCTGCAATCAGTGAACCAGTCATTCAGCCAGGTCTTGATCCAAAGCCAATGTCATGTGGAAATCTCCCATAAACATATGATATTCACTTCCTGTCTTGATTGTGCTCTCACTGTTTTTGTGATCAGATCTTGTTTCAGCATTGGACTAATTACACATGGTTGGTGGTACCAGAAGGACAAGTTTTACATGAGTACACAAGACTGGAGAAGAATACAATATTACAGTCATTCACAAGACAGGCATTGTGTACTCAGCCAAGAACTTTTACTCAAACATTGTAAGTACTATTTGGAGGTACTTGTATCATACTTAAGTGTTTCCATTTCATGGCATGTTATACTTTTACTTCACTACAATAATTTGGCAGTTAGAGTTTAATCGCTATTACTCAGATCATGAGTTTAGCATCAAATATGTGAAGAGCTGACAAAATAATGTGAATTGTTATAGATACTGTTGCCCAACTCAGAGTCAAAACAATTAATTAGTTGGTCAGTACCACTTTGATAACTGAGTTTTAGTGATGTAAGTCCTTTAAATAGATTTTAAAAAATCATGGTTTCAGCTTCTTAAATGTGTGAATTATAGTAAACTGAGTAATTTGGAATATTGTGAAGGACTCTTTACAGACCAAACAATTAAGTGATTAATCAAGGAAATAATCAACACAGTGATCAGTCCTGACAATTAGTTGTAGATCTATATAGAATAGCTCAAAATATAAATGATAAATACTGTATGTATAACAATGACAGGAGACATTTTCTGCATTGAGATACTTTTACTTTTGATACTTAAAGTACTTTTTGCTAATACGTTAGTAACATTTTAAATGCAGGGCTTTTAATCGGGTTGCAGTATTGCTGCTTTTGCAAAAAAAAAAACAAACAACAAGTACAGTTTTGAAGCTGAATATTATCACTTGGCCTGCTGTGTAAAGACTAAACCTTGGGTTCACACTTGAAATCACAGAGTTAAAAATTGACCAAGGTCCTGGTCAGTATACTGTAGTAACGATTCAATACTTCAAACAAACTTTACAGCCTTTACCCTGTAATACTGGGTTATTCAGTTATTTATGTGTTACTATGGGGTCATGAAGTCAAGCTGAACCATTGTCTCGGGTTGGTACTGAGGAAAGTTAACCCATTTGTGTGTCTGTGTTATTCTGGGTCAAGTGACTTACTTTCCTAGTATTGTGTACTCTTTATTTGGATCAATGAAAAACATGAAAGTTTAGAGACATTTTTAGAGTTTTTTCCAGTGAAAAGGCTTGATACCATAATAAGAGAACATGGCAACAGCTTGGAGAAGATCAGTAACAGCCTCTGACAATTCACTGGTTCTGTTCAAGAGACTTTACATAAAGGGGAAGAGCTCAGCAGAACTGGAGCTGTTTCTAATGTAATACACAACACAAGTAGCTTATGAGGTCATATCTTTTTTATCTTAGATATTTTGTTATTTGATCTAAATCCATGGTTCATTTTGCTTGGGTGTAATCTATCATGTAAGCAAGATAGGAAATATAATAGGCAATATACTATAATTTCTTTCCTGTAAGTAATTGCAGTTCTGACCACAAGCTCATTTTGTTACTTTGTAGAAAACTGTGGCAAAATACATATTAGCTCTGTAATAAAAGTATGTGTTGATCATAAAAGAGAACAGATACACAGTGATAGTGATCAGTGGAAAGTAGTACTGAGGTACTTCAGTATTCAGATTTTCTGGCACTTTAAAGATCCAGTTTACTACAGTTCGGGTCTACAGTAAATATCGTACTGTAAATCAGAGTTACTATAGCAGATTAAGATTTTACATGGAAATAATACAAAGCACTGATAAAATAGGATGCATTATTTTACTAATAAACTCCCCAGCTGTGTGTACAATTTGAATCACATTTACAATATACAACATTAAGTGATAATTGCTGAAAATGTCATATTAATTATTAGAGTAAATACAAGCAATAATTTTATAACACTCAGAAATGAGTGCTTTCGTATAATGAACACTTTCATCTTTGATACTTTAGCTATGTTTGGCTGATAGTATATCTATAATTTTCATGCACACCTTTTGTAGTGGAGCATTGGCATTTTTTTTGGTAGTTTTCATTTTACTCAAATAAAGGATGCAAACATTTCTTCTACCACAGACAATGGCTCCAAACATTCAAGGCACAAGAGCAGGTTTGTCCTGTTGTACTGAGGCATTTATTGCCTGAGGCCTCCACAGGATGTTTAGTTTGGCGTTTCTGTGCAGTGATGTTAGTAGTACTGTAAAACAAAAATACAATGTAACTTTGTTGGGGTATGTCTAAAAGTAAGCACAAGAACGAGGCTCCTAACCTTAAAGAACAGGTCAGATTTTAGCATTGCTGTAAGTTGCTGAACTTATAGTAAGAACAGGTTATCTACTTTATCTATATGCTATTCAGTAAACCAGCCATAAATTATAACCAGTCACAAAGGTCTTAAAACGAGCTATTTGTCAGCAACATGGAGGTATTTGGGAGTTTAATGGGCTGTTGGTGTGAAAGGCTTTCTGTCCCTCTGGGTCTGCAGAAGACAGACTCCTGACTGGGTGATAAAAACCAACTATCACTCCCACTTTTATGTCATTTCCCATTTCATTTTCAACATGCATACCTGGAGAATAGTAATGATTGACATAAACAGGCATCCCTTTTTTACTGATATCGCTTTACTAAAACAACATAAATCCTCATTTTTGTTACACTCTGCTGAAAGATTATTCATATATATTTTTGTTCTTTTATGGTCTTTGTTCACTGCATAGTTTTAGAAACTCTTACCCAGAAAATTAAAACAGGTGTCTTTACCTTTATTGCAGCTAGGGGGCAGCATGGCACTGTGACATTTTCATAAACAAGATCACAAGTTTGTTTTTTTTTTGGCCACCTACACTGAACTGCCAGAGTTGTTTCCAGATCCTTGCAAGACTTGTAAAACTTGTATGTTTTCTATTTAGGACAGTGAAACTAAGATCTCCTTGTGAAGACAATAGCACTTCAAACCTGCAACACATTAACATCAGACAACACTCATAGTTCCCTCCAAGACAACCTGCTCTGAGCTGCCTACCTCTTTATTTCCCAGCAGTCACTCTGGCTGGAGTCACTCAAGCACAGAAAGGAATCCCAAGAATGATCACCTTGTTAAGCATATACAAGATTTCCCTCTTAAGCCCTCCAGCCTGCAGCCTCTATTAGTTTACTGCTTGGGTTGACACAGAAGAGAGAGATAATACTGTGGCACTTGAAAGGTTGATGTGTTTGTTACGCACAGAATAGCAACAAATGAAGGTCATGCCCTGGCAACAATAGCCAGCCAGGCAGTGAGAATAAGGAGGCCTCATCTATTCACCTCCTTTTACTGCTGCAGTCAGTGGTAGATTCGACTGGGACGTCTGCAACCCCCATGTTTGACGAGTTGATTTGATGTGGCTTTTTTGACATTAAAGAACAGAAAAGACTCTTTAATATCAAAGTAAAATTCTACAAAGTGATGTAAATCAATTACAAATACATCCTGCTCTAAAGCCGAAATGAATTTATTTATTTATTTGCCCCAGAGACTGAGGAGGTCAAAGCTCCAGGCTGAGAGGTGATCAGATCCAAACACAGGATGCATATGAGGTTTTCCAGTTTGTGTTCATTTGTACTTCTACTTCAGAGAAAAATATTGAACTTTTATTCTGCTACAATTATCTGATTGCTTAATATTGTGCACAGTGCAAATGTAAAACCTTCAGCTTATTGGGAAGGTTTTTTTCTTTTTTTGCATATTTCTTTTGTAAAATTAAGGGGGAAAATGATTTTAATTTAATTAAACTGAAAGGGAGGACTTCTCATGCTGTCATATTATTTTTACTTGAGTAAAGAATCTAAATACTTCCTCACCCACTACTCAGTGCAACATGAGAAGATGCGATTTTAATTTTTAACTAGGTATTTAAACTTAGTAAAACAATATATCAGGCATCAATTATTGTTCCAGTTTTTTTTTGTTGTTGTTGTTGTTTTGGTCTGGAGGGGATTTTTAAATGTTAAATAGTTGCCAGGAATTAATCAACAAGGAGAGAGTGAATGAAGTAACTTTATTTTAGTCTCAGCAGGATTTACAAACATAAAAATGTGTAGAGAGAGGTAACTCTACCCCTCCACAGGCCTCAGCCAGCAAAGAGCGCAAATCATCACAGTGTAGAAAAACATCGATTGTCAGTTCAGAATTTCCCTCATTTGGTAAAAGGAAAAACTGGGGAGGTCCACATATGTTCTTTAACAGGATCCATAAGGCCTTATGTACACAGTGACATAATTCAAACAATGTATGAGGTTAAACAAAAAGACTTGCATTATGCTCAGTACTAACACTGCCCTCATTCAGGACAAGAGAGACGTTAAATCAGTCTTTCCAGTATCAAAATTCTTTCTGAGATGACATGGTTTTGATATTTTTGACTTTGTTCAGTAACTGATAAATGTTGACTCTGAATCAAGAATCACTGTTTGGCACGAAGCTGCTTTTTTCCCATGGATGTTTAAGCAATACTGTGCCGTCGCTAGTAATAGGAGTAGCATGTGTGGTGAGTTACAAAAGCTTTCTTTTGGTAACAGTTAAATCGATTTACAGTGTTAATGGTAATAAAGTAATATGAAACTGTATAAACACAAACGCCCTCATTTATTGTTCCCCAAACAAATCACTGGGCCCACAGTTTGTATATTCAACCACGAATAAATAAAAAAAAAAAACCTGGCACTCATCACTTCATATATTTGGATTTGATCTTCATTCATTAAAAAAGTAAAGTATATTTAAGTGAAGGACACAAAATTTCATACTCACTATATAAATGTTACATATTTGACAGGCGTAAAAAAGCATGGCATTATAACTTCATACTGTTCACAAAGGCAGGACTGGTTGCAATGTGGTACAGTGCATTAAAGAGTTTTCAATCACTGACAAGCATCTGTAATCCATGTGTTAAAGGGAAGTCCACTCAAAATAGAACCGACAATCATGGACAGGTAAGACTTCATGTGGGAATGTAAAATTGCTAATTAAACAGTATATACATTTCATTTCTACAGAACAGGCTAAAGCATAAAAACTTTCATGACTTCATCCATTAATCTCAGAGCTGCTCAAATAATACTGAGTAGATTTATCCACATCCAGATTGTACCCACACTTAATATCCAGGAGAATTATATGAACTCTGCTGAAGTTTGGATTTCCACAAAATATTTCTAATTATCTCACTTAGCTGGAAAGTCTCTGAATATTCACACAGATGTATGTGTGTAATATCTGGAGTTTTTCTTCACCCATCTGGACCAACAGTGACGCATATAAAGCAGCTTTATTCTTGACCACTGGGTTTATTTACAAAGTGAAGGTGGACAAGACATTGTCCTGACTTGAGGAGCGCTTATACCCCAATGATGAGCTGAAGTACGCCTCTCCATCAGTGCTGATGTCATCGTCGTCATCTTCCAGGTTGGTGACCAGCGGAGCAGAGGTGTTCTTACGCCTGGATGACACAGAACAATACCATAACCAGGACCGTGTCTATTTTAAGCCTTTTTTAAAGCTACTCGAATTTCTTTTCAGCATAGAGGGTTGAGTGAAACTCAAAACAAACTGACACATAAGATGCTCTTAACTGCCCTCCCATCACATCCTGTTTGGATGTGATGGGAGGGCACAACAAGACCACAACAACATAAACTACAGATGCCTGGTTGTGGCAAACTGTGCAAAAGGCAGCCTCAAGTCTGACCCCATGTCATGCTTTTCCTTGTTTTCTGACTTATCTACAATGTTACAACAGTGAATTATCATCTTAGACATGACCTAAAGCTCAAGTATCAAGTGATAGTTTAAGGGATTCCTTGAATGGAAATAACCTCCAGGCAGTTGCGTGTTCATGTGAACTTGCCCGACATCCACCGATGCCATTATAAAAGCAGAATGTTTTGACTGCGCCTGGTTTTGTGGATATACAGTATTTTACCTCCTGCTGCACTGTGACCAGAGAATGTGGGGAAAAATACAGGGCCTGAGGTTACTGCATGTCCAGGAACATTCCTGTACAGGGACTCGCTGTTTTACGTGACCGGGTCTAACCTACGAACAGCCGGCCTGTGAAGACCCCTGGGGCAGTGACAGCACATCAACACTGGAGTCCCCCGGAGCACAGTACCCGTTTGTTTTGACTGCTTGAGGCCAGTGTGTCTGCGGCATGTGGTTAACGAGCGGATTAACAATCCATGATGTTATTGTCGGTGCTACACTACCTGTTGGAATTAATTTCACTACTTTGGGACAGTATGTGATCATGTGGAGGAAGACACAGCGACCACCGGTTGGATTTACTGACCTTGGAGCTATCTGAAAGGAAGTGATGTTTCCACTACTCAGTGGGACTTAATGGTAAGTAAAAAAAAAATACAGGTTGCATGTCTGTTAATGCCTTGTTTCTGTAACATTAGAGACAATTGTTGTCAGGCTGGTATAGCTGAGTGTCCCATTTTCACTTGATTTATCAGACAATGTGTAAAATCCTAGTTTATGCACCTTTAAAGGATTGGTCTACGTGGTACGGATGACAAATTATAGCTCTAGTACATTTACCTGATCTCAGTACGCAGAGCTTTGAGCTGGCTCTGGAGCTGCTCGTTGGCCTCCTGTGATTCATCCAGGTCTCTCTCCAGCTTCTTCTTGCTATGCTCCAGTCGGTCGATCTCCTCCTCAGCCTCATCCATCTGCCTCTTCAAGGCCTTTAGGCGCAGATTCAACTTCAATAAATGAACAACATGCAGTGGATTAAAGGGGCTCAGCAGTTACTAACACTATGTGGCTGAATGACAGATACTGGACTTTATTTAAAGTGTTGGCTGAAGGAGTGTGCATTACGTACTTGGTCCTTTTGATCTTGCATTGAGTGATGTTCTTCTTCAAGTTGCATCATTATGTCTTTTACCTTTCTTTCTAAGCGGCGGTTCACCAGCTGCAGGTTGGCACGCTCCCTGAAACAGATGCAGTGCGATGTATCATCCTACTGACTTACATAAATCTTAAAGCACAAAGAGTTAAGAGCTGATTGAAGAGACACGTTTTCCCCAGAGTGAAAAAAAAAATCATAAGATGTATATAATTCTGTTACCTATAGATCTGCAGAACTTAATCCAATATCTTGTAATCTTTGCAAAAGTGTCTCTTGCTCCTACGTCAGCTGCAGCTTTGTGGCCTAAACCACCAGCGTCCAAGTAAAAACTGACTTTCATCTCGAACCTGGAAGCCACTACCTGACTGCCATTCCCAACATGAGGAGCCGCTCCATAAAACCTTTCCTCTTCCATCTCTTTAACCACAGCACATTACCACTCTATTCCCAGTTTTAGGCTTCACCTCACCTTTCGTCCGCCTCCAGCCTCTCCTCCATCTCCTGTATGCGATCCTCCAGCTGGGTTACCAAGCCCTCTTTGTTGGACTTCTGGGAGCCCTCTAGATGAGTCACTCTGCTCTTCAGGTCTTTATTCTAGAGAAGTCACACAGAGGCAGTGCTTAACAGGACAAATGCATGTTTAAACCATAATCATATTTGTGTATAAAAATAAAAATTACATTGATGTGAGAATGGATATGATCAAATGAAAATGGTGAAAAGACATGAATGAAATTAGTGCGTGTCTGAACTGAGTTTGTGGAGTAACACAGTGTGTAGCTGTTTCCCTCCAGACAGGAGAGTCTGTACCTGTCTCTCCAGAGCCACCTTGTCACACTCCAGGTCCTGTCTGCTAGCCCTCTCCTGCAGGAGTTCATTCCTCATCTGCTCCACCTGTCAAGCCGAGTCCAGACACTATCATTGGTACACTCCCACACAGTCCACAGTCTGATGACTGTTATTATCAGACACTGAGTCTCACTCACTCCAGAAACCACTGTAGTGCTCAGTGAGTCAAAAACTAAACAAAACAGTTGATGCAGAAAGGGCCCTAAATAGTTGTGATGGTTGCTTGGTGGTTTTGCTAGTTTGACTACATTCCATGTTTTGAGATTATGTTAACTGTCAGCAACAGGGGGCTGGGTAAGTAATAAAAATAAGAAAAATCAATGGCAGTAGTTTCTGTAAAAAATATAAAGCTGTGAGCTTTATAGATTGAGATTGAGAATAAATAAGGTTTAAACATAGTAACACTTTGTCTATGGTGTATGATTATGCAGCTTTAAAGGAATAGTTCAACAGTTTGGTTAATACACTTATTTGCCTTTTTGCTGAGACTTAAGATCAAAACCAGTGTCACATCTGTATGGAAAATATGAAGATACCACCAGCGGCCAGTTAGCTTAGCATAAAGACTGGAAACGGGGAAGATGGCTAGCCAGTCCAAGGATAACAATCTACCTACAAGCACATCTAAAGCACACTAAAACACATTATATCTGAGGTTTAAACACAGTTATGTGTAGACAGTGAACTTCAGCAGTGCTGGTGGGTGGATTTTGTTGCTAGGCCAGCTGTTTCCTCTGTTCCAGTTATTATGCCAATCTTAGCTAATCATCTGCTAGCCTTGAGTTGTATAGATCTTCTGATCTAACTCTTGTCAAGAAGGTGAACATTTCAAAGGGTCCCTTTAATACTAATCTGGTGTCATAATGTATTAACTAACTGCACATTAAATCAACTCAGAGAAACCTGACTGCATGAACACAACTGTTCAGTGATAGCTTAGTTCAAAGGACGGGAGGGGAAAAAAAAAAAAGAAATAATAATCGATACAGCGGTGAAGGTTCTTTCTTTGTAAGAGGAGCTTCAAATTGGTGATATTTTATGCCAATTAGTCAGTGACAGTGGGCTGCTATGGTGAACGATGGCCCCTATAACTGGTGCATCCAGCACAGTGCTTGAGGGAGCTGAATCAGCAGACTGGAACATACAGCGAAACTAATCTGCTTTGTGAGAGACGGCAGGAGAGGAGAGGGGAGATTACTCTCATTTAGACAGGAGAGGAGCACCTGGTGCCAGGAGAGACGCAGGTGTTCTTCCTGCTGCAGCCCCACCACCCCTACACCCCATAGCCATTCACTCCCCCATCGTCTCCCCACAGACATTAGAGCACACACGCCAGCGCATACCCGCATGCACACGCTCACAAACACACACCACTCAATCCACTGCACTGAATGCACAAAGCTCGAGTGCTGCCTTGACAACCAACCTCAGCCTCATACCGAACCAATGCCATTTTGCCACAATGCCACTCTTTTCTCTCTGCCAGAAATTTTTTAAAAGGGAAACCATTTAAGGAGATTTAAATGCACTTGGCTTCTCTTAATGTCGCTATGCACTTTATTTTAAATTTTGGTCAGAACCTTTGACTCTGTGCCAGTTCCAGCCCGAGGGGAACCTGTAACCCCGCCAAATCTTACAGGCCTCCCTTTTCATCTTATATTTAATATAAAGAAGCTGCTAAGGTGCTAAACTCTGACCTCTGGATGGTATGTGCTGCAGAAAACATACATGGTATAAAACCAGAAGGGTGGCAATAAGCAGTGCTTTTTCAAAAACTCTAAAACTA